GATGTCTGTGAGTGATGTTTCCTGGTTTGTGAAATAAGCGCGAATGTCGGATAAAGCGCCAATGTCCTCTAGCTCCGAACGCCGTAGAACCCGGAGACCAGTGTGAAGCACATCCACAGCTGCAAGGAAGCGCTTATCTGAAATCTGAGATTCCAATTTCTCGGGAAGGGATTGGATTTCCTCAATCTGAGTGAACAGCTGTACGATATCATCGTAGTTCTGAGAAGACGTTGCCAGCCCTTTCAGCTCGGGCTTGGTCGATATTAACCCGGATTTGGCATGATCCAGGGCATGCCTCAGGCTTCGTACTCGGGTTTGCGAGGAAGATATATTGGATTGGATTTTGTGGTATGTTCCAATAGAACTGTTGAATCCCTGATGGTGTTCTATGACATGCAATTTTAGCAGATTCCTGTCCACGCCGCCGCAGAAAGAACCTACCATTGACAATTGCCTTCAATGTCTTCTGGATATCATTGTACATATGCAAAAATTCTGGCTCGCGGTCTGCTTTGCCCAATGTACTCGTGTCCATCAAACTCAAAGCAACGTGTACCGGGACACACTCGGCATCAGTCATGAAATCCCAGTCGCGCTGAATAGACTGGAGAATTGCTGCAGAAGGTAGCGTAATTAGCTACTGGGCCAGGCTAAGCAAAAGACAAAGACATACTTTCAATGGCCTGAGGTTCCCCCGAGTCATTATCCATCTTAACCACGGGCGACGCATTTCTCTGGATCCTATGGTCCCTTTGGTCCTTCCGTTCCCTTTGCTCTCTTTGATCTCTGTAATTTCGTTGGTCTCTCGGGTCTCTTTCGTCCCTGTTGTCCGCGTATCGACTTGCATCTCTAGACTGTTCTTCCCGGTACTTTCTGTCGGGTTCTTGGTTCCTTGTGCGTGACCGCGAAGAGGGATGGGAAGAGGCTTGCGAGGAGGGGTGCGAAGAGGGGTGCGCAGACGAGTACGACGAGGGGTGTGATGAGGGATTCGGAGATGAGTTCGAGGGCCGTTGCTGCCTATCCCGGTTCGTTCGATCGTGCCGGCGCTCAGGCGACTGGGTCGGCACAGGAGATTGGCCTGGTGGTAGAGCCGGCGGCTGGGGCGAGTCTGGATAGAAACCACCGTATCCCCCAGGCCGACGATCTGAACGTCCACCTCCGCCTGGTGGTGCGGCACCTCGTCCACCATATCCGTTTACTCCAGGGTTGTTGTTGCCATTGTATCCCCCGTCGTTACCATCATACCGATTGGGGCCAGAGTAGCCATACCCATTACCATAACCGTTTTGGCCGGACATTGCCAATGATGCCCGCTAATCACGGGTTGTTCCAGTTCAGTATGGAAGCGTTGGTGGGCTGTAGACAAGGGGCTGGCGTGGGGCTGTTAGCTAGAAACTTTCGGTCTCAGGTCCTGTGACTTGCGCGCGACAATTGGCGAGGAGCTGCGATCATTCTTGGCTGTAAAATAAAGGGAGCGCTGGAAGCAATTTAGTGATGCCGTGGGGATAGCGTTGAAACAGGCCGGGGCGGAGTGTCAGGCTCCACCAGAGCTTCCCGCATTCCATTCCACTGGCCAGTTGTCAGTCTACTACGAACACCTGGGAAGCTTACATTGTTCGTTATTGTAATTTTTTTAAATAATAGCTATTTTGTATTCTGTTTCACTCTTAGTTATTCATGTCTAGATACATCATTGAAATGGATTATGTTCTAGGCTGCATTCTACCTAATGGCGTCTAATCAATAGCGGTGGGGGTAGACATGGACATGAATCACGGTCTATCAACGCCGCAGACCCCTTATTTGGAGATCGGCTGGGTCTCACGCTCGAGCCACGAACGTGTAAGATCATCTCCCTGGAAGAAGTGCTCTGTCTTCGCCCAGATTTCAGAGTGGTAATCATTTACCCACTTGAGCTCGGCGTCGCTCAGAAGAGACGGCTCAATCAGGTTGCGACCAATAGGGGTCATCGTAACATGTTCAAAGCCTAGCCACTGCTTGTCACCAAAGTTGTGGGCGGTTTTAACTTCGCGAGCCATGACAATGTCTACAAAGAGAGGTATTAGTACATTTCCAATTACAGTCACAGAGCAGTACAACTCACTCTCAATTCGAATACCAAATTTGCCATCCTCGTAGTATCCGGGTTCTATGTCACAGATTAGTTTCGGACTGCAACAAATAGAGGAAGAGAGACAAACCATCCGAAATAACGTTTCCGGCCGCAATGGGGACCTCGGTGTACTGAACTCGAGTCCCGATGCCAATAGGGCCCTCGTGAACATTCTAAACAGGAATTAGCAAAGTGTAAGGTTTTTGATCGGCGACAATACTCGCCAGATAGGATCCAACGCCATGGCCTGTTCCATGGAGGTAGTCCAAGCCTTCCTTCCACAAGTGCTGACGCGCCAACACGTCAATTGCAAAGCCACTGGTGCCTTTGGGGAACACTGCCATGTCGATTCCAATAGTTCCCTTCAAAACTAACGTGAAAGCACGCTTCTCAAACTCAGTAGGAGCGCCGAAGTGGAATGTTCTCGTGGTGTCGGTCGTTCCATCCAAGTATTGACAACCAGAGTCGCAGAGATAGATGGCCTTGGGATCAATGATAGCACAGCTTCCCTTCTCGGGGCTGTAGTGAATAACTGCGCCATTGGGTCCAGTCGATGAGATGGTATCGAATGAGAGACCAGCGAACAGATCATGTTTGGAGCGGATCTGTTCCAACTTGTCAGCTCCATCGACTTCGTCCAAGACAGTCTTCTTGTTGATGAGTTCGTTTTCAAGCCAGGCAAAGTACTCGGTCAGCGCAGCACCATCGCGGATATGGCAAGCCCGCATTCCTTCAAGTTCGACTTCATTCTTCACAGCCTTTGCATCCGCGACTGGGCTACGGGTCTCTTCGACCTGTCCCTCGCCACCAAGGCTAAGGCTGAGAGCCCAAGAAGCCTTGTTTGACAACAAGAACTTTGCTGCGTTCTCACCCGCAGACTGGCTTTTAGTACTGAGCGCTTGAGCGTCAGCGAAGATGGAGTCGTATGGCTTGACGACAACGTCTTGCCCAAAGTGAGCCTTGACCTCTGGTGTCAACTTATCATCTTCGACATAGATCTCAGCAGTGGTGGGCGTAATAACGGCATAAGAGAAAAACACGGGGTTGTAGGGAATACTGCTCAGAGTTAGTCGATTGGCAATGGTGCATCACGGTAAAGACGCTGTTCTTACTCGGTTCCTCTCAGATTGAATAACCAAGCAATCTCATCGAGCATAGCTGCGATAAATTAGTCACTTTGCAGAGCTGTAATATATGCGACGCGGCCATACAAATGATGAATCCGGCCTTCTTCTTTGACTCAAGTTCCTTCCGCAGCTCGGCCACCTTATCTTGGAATGCCTTGCCGGCATACTTCTCGGGATGAACGCGCACTTTCTCGCTGGGACGCGCGGGGCGTTCCTCGCCCCAAACCAAGTCGATCAAGTTCTCCTGGACCCCCACGAGGGATGAACCATTCTTCTTAAGGGTCTCTGCCAACTTCCGTGCGCCAGCTATTGGACATTAGCGCCACTATACACTTCCATATTCGAAGTAACAACACTCACACGCTGTGATTAGAGAGGGGTCAACACCAACAGCCTTGCCTCCTTGGGCCTCCTCCGTGGTCCTATCAACAAGATCAGTCCCCGTACAGATCGTTTCGCATGACTGTCATCTCGTACCATTCCTGCCATGTGGGTACGCCCTCGACTCCACCCTTCAAGAGTTGCCAGTTGGTATCCAGTTGTTTCGCGGCTTGGTTGAAGTACCGTCCATCGGTGGACAGTGCAGCTTTGCTCAGGGAGATGATTGCAGTACCGGCCGAGCCAGAGAATCCCGAAATGAATTCTATGGAAATGTTAGCTATCGGCGCGGGCAAACCAACAGAGGGGGCGGGGGGCGGGGGGCGGGGGGGCGATCATTGACCTCGGCGGGCATCACATGGCGCGATGTACTCGGACTGGTGGCTATCTTCTGAGGGCACAACTATACGAAGCTGGTAAGCACAACTCGAGGTTTAAGCAACCTGCGGGGACACATAGATGAGATCATACTGTAAACATCGACTTTGTGCTGCTGCATCAACTGCCTCAGCTTTGACAGGCGTTCAGAGGTATCCACGGCCCCCATATCGACTGTGTAGCGTGGACCGAAAACGGAGAAGTATCTCGGACGGGAGACAGGCCTTAGTGATGGCAAAGATGTCCAAAGGCGAATTGGACGGGAGAGGAGCATGGACACTGGTAGCCTTCAAGAGATTCCTCAATCTGTTAGCTTTCAAGAAGCTAAGCTAAGCGAAAGAGAGATTAAAGGCGTCAGATAAGCGTACGATAAGCTAATTCCGCAGGTCGTGTGAACTCCGTGTAAGTGGCCTTTGGCCATAGGGCGAGCTCCGAGCTCCGGAGTCGCGGCTACACACGGCCCACACTTTGTGTTGTCATGTTTGCACTCAATCACTTGTGTGTATCATGTCTTTATGGTGGTTTTTATATGTCTTTTATTTAGATATTTTCCCCTTATTGATGTTGTGGCTATAATATTGGCTGCTCGCATAGCTATAATGTACAAAACAACTCTTCCATATGCGCTCTTAATGTATATTCTTTTATAGTTTATCCTATGGCGATTTGGCTGAGTGGTCTAAGGCAATTGAGTACATTTCTCCTAACAAATGAATGCGTTACAACATCTACTAACCCTGTTACAGCTTGTCTTGGATCAATAACCATGGAGAATATAAATTCCGTTCGTGGGTGCATTCGAATTCCAAGATATCTAAAGCTCATCCAAAAAAGGTCACGTGCCTGGAAATTAGAGAACAAGCCCCGCAGTTACCGCTCTAAAAGCCGCCTTAGCGCTGATTGGCCAAGTGATGCAAACAATAGATTCTGCCCGTCATAGCCCCCGTGCTTGTATATGTCACTTCTCTTTTTCATTTCCACAACCACGCGCTTGTCAAGACAAAATGGCAACCTGGATGTCTGACGAGGGTCTTGGGACCAGAGAGTCAATCTCAGAGGCCCATATTGTATGTGTGCCATGTCTACCTCTAAGATCTAACAACTAACAAAGAACCAGCTAGTCACCGAGCTTTATAACCCAGCGAACCAACGGGACCCCACCAGAATTAATGAGATTCAGACCCGCCTGCAGCAACTTCAGAAGACTGAGAATGCATGGGCAATTGCCGATTCGCTTCTGCAAAGTGAACATTCTGCCCAGCATCGTTTCATGGGAGCCCTTACATTCACAGTGAAGATCAATGTCTCATGGTACGGTCAATCTCTCTGATCAGAACCACTATCACCTCATCCATATGTGACGAAGTATTGCTGATGTAGGGATATTATTAGGAATGAAATCAACCAACATTCGGCCACGGAGATCATGCAGCACCTAATCAATCGCTTTGTTGCTTTGGTAACCAATGGTGAACAAGCAATGGTTGTGAGAAAGCTTGCCTCAAGCTTAGTTGCCATTTTTAGACACCCTGTCACACCATGGAAACAAGCTATTTGGCAGCTGGCTGCAAGCCTCGTCCACGGCGGATACGTATCTGAAGAAGAATCACGAAGGGTGGATTTCCAGGAGCGGATACTGCCAGCGTTGAGCAAGAGTGGATCAGGTGCACTTTTGTTTTTCTCAATTGCACTCGCTGAGGAGGCCCTTCGACTGGACTCTGAACCCCAGGATGGGACTGGAGATACCTCAGCTATCCAGCGAGCCATACACAACATTAAGGATGGGTTGCTTTTGGTTCAGTTTGTCCTCAGGGAAATCACGCAGCATGCAAAGGCAGCTGGGGATGATGCGGTCGACCTGGCATTAGCGGCTGAAGCCATGAACTCGTGGAAGGTGAGTTAATCTCGGTTCTTGGTACTTCCGTCTAGAAGGGCGCAACTGCTAATTTGACTCCTACCTCGCAGACATGGTTAGGTGTTCATGGAAATCGCCAACGCTCCTCTGCTGAAGATGTAAATGTCTTGTCGGTCCGATGTGGCCAGACCGTCATTGAGACATTGAGGGTACCTAGCTTGAGTGAAAGCGCAGCTTCTATTTTGACCCAAGCCTTTGAAACCCGCCGCTGGGCCTTCGACGACAACTCACTGTGGCTCGTCTCTGAAATTCTTGCTGATTCAATTGTAACGGTCCACATTTCTGCGGTGAGAAGCGGCGATGAAGGAACGGAGAGCATGTCGTTCGTTGATCTCTTGATTGCATATGTCTCGCATTTGCACATAGATATATTCAGCGACCCCATGACCCCACAAAATGCGGCTATCCTCACACTTATCCACGGGATTTTCAAAACCCCTGGTTATGCTTCCATTGACGATCTCGGAACCCCACGTGTCTTGGAGTTTTGGAACGACATTGCAGAGAGTCTCCCCGATCAACTTGAACAAGGCAGCTCTAGATATGATTTGGTCAAGTCGCATCTAGCTGAAGTAGTCTTGGGTCTTTCCAGCAAACTACTTTATCCTAAGTCCGAAGATTTGGAAGACTGGGGCGAGGAAGAGCGAAGTGAATTCGGTGCCTTCCGTCATGAGGCCTGTGATTACTTACTTTCCGCATACCCTGTTCTCGGTGTCGAACTGGTCACTGTCTTCCAGAGAAGCGCCACGTCCTGCCTGGAAAGTCGGGACTGGCGGAATTTCGAGACTGCCATGTTCTGCATAGCTCAACTGTCAGAGGCAGTAGATGAGAATGGCCACGCCGACCAATGTCTCGACGCCATCTTTGGCAGCGATGCATTTGCCAGGCTCTGCGCAGGCGGGGAGACTGGAATGCCGCTCAAGGCTCGTCAAACCCTGGTGGATTCATTCGGAAAGTATGAATCATACTTTGAGCGTCACAGTTCATTACTTCCGGGTGTTCTAAACATCCTGTTCGAATCACTCAACTTCGAGTTGTGTGCGCACGCGGCTTCAAGGTCGATATTGACTCTTTCAAAATCGTGTGCTCGCGTCTTGACGTCAGATCTTCCCGCATTCTTAGATCAACTGGACCAGTTCAGAACCAAGCCGACAGCAACTGTCTCCACCATGCCTAAGGTTCTGGAAGGAATTGCGACCATCATACAGAGCTTACCTAGTGACCAGGAAAAGGTACAGACGCTAGAGAGAATTCTCGGCTTCTTTGTTCAGGAAGCTAACACAGCACGGGAAGAGGTTACCGGTTCTGCTCATGAATTTGGCCGTCTTCGCGGACACCTTGTGTTGAGCTGCATTGCGAGTATCGGAAAAGGCCTTCGCTCAGAGAGCGAAGTCATCGATATCGAGCTTACAAAGGAAGGAAACCCATATCCTCCATCCTTCTGGAACTCTGGACCAGGTGCCGAAGCCCAGCGCCTGATCATGGAGGCCATGGGACTTTTGATTGTCGGTTTTCCCGTGGACAGTAGCATCATTGAAGCAGCCTGCGACATTTTGAAAGCTGGTTACACCGAGCGGGCAGGGCTTTTTGTCTTTCCACCCTCTATGACAGTGGACTTCATCAAGAGCTTTCCTCTCGGTATCTCCGGGACAGATGTTATCATGGCAACCGCCTCGTCATTTTTGGCATCTCACGCTCGGCATGCGATGAATATCCGCAGTGAGGCCGAGGCGCTTATCGACCATGTAGCCCAGCTCTTTTCCTCGATGCTGCAGAATCCGGATGTATACGACCCAGAGACCGCCAATGCCGGTATTGATTTCCTCACACGACTTTTACCAAAGTACTACCCGATCTTGTTTACTCCTATGAAGTCAAATCTGAGCGCAGAGTCTCCCCTCGCTGTGCTACTTCATTTCACGCTTCACGCATTGACACGACCTGAACCACTTCCTCTTCGAGCCGCATCTGCATTCTGGGTTGCATTAATAGATCTCCGCGGCAGCTCTCCGGAAGAAATGAACATACTCGAATCAGTCCATCAAGAGTTTATTCCACGCCTGTGTTATACAATCATCCAGCAGATTGCTGGGCGATGCGCAAGATCAGACTTGGTCGCCCTGAACGACAGCCTGCGACGCACTGTTTTCAAGAAGATGGCATTGGCGCGCCCGGCTCTGAAAGCTGCGCTCGACTCTTTGGACGCCCAGGTCACAGATGCAAATGGACAAGTGCCACTCCTATCGGCGCAAGACAAGTCGCGGTTCTTGGAGTCTCTCGCCATTGCCCGAGGTAGTCAGAAACCGTCTCTGGATATTGTGCGGTCCTTCTGGTTGAAATGCCGCGGGATGAATTTCGATTATGCCCAGTAATAGAGCTTGCGTTGCTGGTACATGACCTGATGATTGGAGTTGATGGGTCCTGCAACTTCGGTGTTCATTTAGATATCCATTTGCATGACATGCGCGGTGTAGCTTGATTTAATCCTACTTGAGAGTTTCTACTTGCATTCATCTAAGCGCCATAATTGAGAAATTTCCAAATTATTGAGCAGTTCGGCCGCCGTGCATAACAAAAAAAGCAATCTTGTCGAGGGTTATACATAATAATGTCCTCTGCACGGTCTGTGCCTTTTGTCACCTTCACATAACGACCGAAGTACAAGACCTTGCTACCACACCACGTGATCGTGACCCACTTAAGTTGGCATTGACCCACCAACCTTATCCCCAAGATCTGTGAAACGTACACAGACCACAGGCTACTTCATCTTCAATTCCTTCGCTGTCTTTGACCCCATCTGAATGATATGGCCTTCTGGTATATCCATGGAAACTCCGGTCTATGAGAATTTTGTTTTTGATCCTTCTGGCTAGGACATCGAGAAGAACAAAATAGACATTTGAAAGAATATCTAAAAGGGCATCAAAGTAGTATATAATATAAGAACGGTAGGATGTCTAGTTAGTATCATTTCGAGCTATCTACATATTCAAACCTCTTACAGTGTCCAGTACAGAAACCACATAACTAAGCGGCCGACTATTCTTGTAAGTACTACATAGCATTTGAACCTGATGCACAAAAATCGAGTGGCAGAACGAACAATAACGACCTTGTTCTCCACGAATGGGACCATCAGTAAAATACCCCCAACAGCTCTTTCCGTAATTCCCCGTTAATGGACTGCCGTCGGAGACTACGGAGACAACGGCGTGATATGGGGATGGTAGCCGAAGCTCCGATTGGCTATTGTCTTTACCCGCGGACTAAAAACTAACAACGCCCGGACTCTCGGTGGTTGACTCGGTGGTTGACTCGGTGGTTGGCTCGGTGCCGGTAGCCTATTAAGTGACAGAGCGGGGATTAGTTTAAAGTATGTTATGCAGGACATCGTATTGTTGCGCTAAGGTAATAATGTAATAACCCTGGAATATTGTCAAAACGGTTGAAATCCTATGTAACGTAGCCCCTAGTCTACATGCAATGATTGATTTTTAAGATAAATGTATCAAATCATATAATGTATATGTCACATTAGACATCTACTCATGGCTCATGTACAAGAAATTTTTAGGACACAATCATCAAGGCTGAAACAACAGACACAAAATCATATCTACCAACCACGGCCAGCCAACTTATCAGCCTCGGGCAACTGCTTCACGTTGATACCAACCATGGCCTCACCGAGACCCTGGCTGACCTCAGCAAGCATCTTGGGGTCCTTGAAGTGAGTAACAGCCTGAACAATAGCACGGGCACGCTTCTTAGCGTCGCCAGACTTGAAAATACCAGAGCCAACAAAGACACCATCGCAGCCCAGCTGCATCATAAGGGCGGCATCGGCAGGGGTGGCAACACCACCAGCGGCGAAGTTAACAACGGGCAGACGGCCGAGCTCAGCAGCCTGACGAACAAGCTCGTAAGGAGCCTCGATCTCACGAGCGAACGCGCGGAGCTCAGGCTCGGCGTCCTGGCTAGCGAGGAGAATACCACGGGCACGGCTAATCTGCGCATTGACAGTGCGCATGTGCTTAACGGCCTCGACGACATCACCGGTACCAGCCTCACCCTTAGTGCGGATCATAGCGGCGCCTTCGGAGATGCGGCGCAGGGCCTCGCCGAGGTTGCGGCAACCGCACACGAAGGGGACCTTGTAGCCGTGCTTGGTGACGTGGTAGACATCGTCAGCGGGAGTGAGGACCTCGGATTCGTCAATGTAGTCGACGCCAATGGCTTCCAGGATCTGTAGACAGGGGATCGTTAGTGTCATTGTTACTTTTTAAAAAGTCTCCCTTCCCCCGCCACCGGGAGATCTCCGTTTCCCCCCGTTAAGTTGTCTACCCCTCCCCCGCAATGGAGATAATTGTCACATACCTGGCATTCAACGAAGTGTCCGATACGGGCCTTGGCCATGACGGGAATGGTCACGGCTTCCATAATTTCCTTGATCATGCTGGGGTCGGACATGCGCGCAACACCACCCTCAACGCGGATATCAGCGGGGACACGCTCGAGGGCCATGACGGCAGCAGCACCGGCTTCCTCGGCGATACGGGCCTGGTGGAGGAATCTGTTAGTTTTATATGGCTAGATAGTATCAATTCCTCGTCAAAGAGATCATACCTGCTCGGCGTTCACGACGTCCATAATAACGCCACCCTTCAGCATCTGGGCGAGACCGGCCTTGACAGTGAAGTCATTGCCGGTGGTTCCGTTTGGAGCAGCCATTGTGAATTAGCTAAAATAAAAATAAAGAAGGGAATATGGACAAGAGTAAATAGAAGTGAATAGGAAGAATACAAGAATACAAGAATACAAAAGAAAAGGAAGTGCCGAGGGTGAGTCAGTAGGAAATACACTTTTTTCCCCAAAGTTACTTGCCTCAGGCCAATCAAACTCGGAGCGCCCCTCGTCAGGGAAGATCCCATGGAAAGTCAACCTTTCCGAGGATACCCCCCTCTTCCCGGTGAGGAATAGCCCACCGCCTGCTCTCTTTGGTTTGGCTCCGGGGAAGATTTCTTCTTAGTCATGTTATTACGTGAGTGCCTGGCTCTTGGCATTAATCTGACTGCCGAATGCAGTAGGTGAGTAGACTACTACCTACTTTGTATATGTACATAGTTATAACTAGTTAGTCATGTACTTACTTTGTAGATACATGTAGTGTATGGCAGACACCTGGGTAAGACCAACTTTGGAAGTGACTCAGCACTGATATTACACTTTATTCTGGTAAGTGAGTTGCTTTCTTCAATATAGCACGGTGGCTATATGTTAACCTTGGAAGCTATAAGCACCTGTGTCAGCACCTATGTCAGCAGACTCAGCACCTGCATATGAGCTTCAGACATATATCGTACATGTTATAATGGAGGGTCCATAACTACTTAGCTACTAACTTTGTACATCGCTACATGTCTCTATTAATCTAGCATTATACACTTCCACAGATGCCTCTACACCCCCCAGTATTCCCAACACACATACTATACTAATATACTTATGAACTCTAACCAGTTAATATAGACTCTGGTATAAGAAAAACCAACTTCAGAACCAGCCTCAATCCTTTAGAACTACTAAGGTATGGACGATCTCAGCGATATATGACGTCACCTGGCATTCTTATCAGCCGAGGGAGCTCATCTCCACCAAATCCGACTCTCCAACTCCCTCAATTGCGAGAGAGACAAGCAAAACAGACATAATGTCTTTCAGATTATTCACCCACCAGCCCGCCACCCTCCTCCGTCTGGGTCTAGGCGTCGGCATCGGTCTCTCTGCCGCAACCATGCACCCCTTGTCACTCTTCCGCGCCGCCCCAATGCAATGCCAGTACGCAGTGCCCCAGCAAACCTTCAACAAGGATTCAGATTGGGCGGTTAACCCCGCTGAATCTGCGGGGCAGAAGCAGGCACGTCCACGGCGGACTGGGTTGTTGAACGCGGAGACTATGCGCCAGGTTAGTTTGGGGAGTGTGCTGGGGCTTGTTGCTGGTGTTGGGTTGAGAGCATTTTCGAAGGCTTTGGTCGTTATTTTGGGCATGGGGGTTGTTCTTGTTGAGGTATGTACAAGATTTTGCCGTAGACTTGGCCTTTCTTTCCATTGGCTTTGTTGATGGTTTCGCTGTCGGAGGTTATGGGTTGCAGATGAATATACTTGTGACGGTACGCTGATACTTCTTCTGATCCATAGTTCGCTGCATCTAAAGGGTACAATATTCTTCCAATCAATCGGATTCAGAAATATGTTAAGCGCGTTGACTTGCGCCGCGCTATGAGTGAGAAGCGGCCGTTCAAGATGAGTTTCGGTGCTATGATGGTGATGGCGGCATTTGCGAATTTCTAGACTTCGCTTGTTCGGTTAGACGGATATCTAACGCTACTTGTACATACTATCGAACAATGCCATGTTGGATTTCACAAGGACACTGTTGGGCTGTTGGACGCCCGGATTAGAATTGGTAAAATGTTCATTCGTACAGGGTATCATGAGTCTTGTTCTATTCCATACCAAACACAGGGAGGAATCTACGCTACCCCAGCACCAGATCCTCCAGCACGCCTTCCATTTCATCCCGGGATAGTGGCACACCTAATATCTCCATACCGCTTGCATCCATGCGCGAAGTAATCATCTGGTGGTCGTGGAACTCCTTCAGCAGAGTGCGGAACATCATCTCCGAAGAAGCGACGAACTCTTCCGTGGCCTTCTGGTAAAGCAGACGGAACTCGATGCCAGTTTCATCGTCAGCTTTGCCGCCGCCATCTGCCTCACCTTCGCCGTCTGACTGGTGGCCGTCGTCCAGTAGAGTGATGAGTTCTGTCAGTAGAAGACGGTACAGATTGCGTGCATTCTCAGGAAGACTCTTGAGCACAAAGCCCACGCCATCTTTCCCGCCAACACGGCGACCCTTGCGTCCAAGGAGAGTGTTGACCTCCTCGACCACGTCCGCCTCCGCCGAGAACGGTAGGAAGGTTGTGCAATCATGAAAGACGAAATTGAGTTGATCACGCAGACTGATATCCCACATGACCGGGAAGTTGGGGGTATCCGCTGTGACCAGAAGACGGATGCGCGGTGTTGCAGCCAGGCGAGCGAGGAGCGCTTGGTTGGCTGCGCGGCGGAGAGGCGGGGCATCAATAGAATTGATTAAAACCGTAACGGGCTCTTCGCGCGAATTGAGCGCAGATTGTAGTAGCTCGAGGACCTCGGTTGGCTGTGCACCAAGCTTGGATGGCGCATCGTCACCCATTACGGCGGTGACGATCGTGGCGAATATTGATCGGATGGAGATGCCTGGCGTGTAACCATTGACCATTACAATGATTGGAGTCGTAGTGACTGACAAGCGGTGGTTGTAAATCCACTCCGCGAATTCATCCATTAGCTTGCGCTTGGAGCCGTAGCCAAATAGGCAGATGTTGAACCCTTCATCGAACTCGAATGCCCACTGCGGGAAAGATCGGTGGTGCAAGGACTGCAGGTATTCCTTCTCTTCCTTGCACGGATCCTCATATTGCCCAAGTTTCTCGAAATATTCCTCATGCGTTAACAAGGGTACCTTGTTGAGGGTTGCGTTTGATGTCTTGACAGGACCGGCGCGGTTCTGGAAGAAGTATCGTTCGTGTGCAGGGAGCTCGCCTTCCGGTGTCGGGGAGCGCTTATTTCTCGCACCTTTCGGTCGTCCTGCGCGACGCTTTGGTTGTTTCACTCCCTTTTCAGGGGCCTCTTCTGCGTCTTCAGGTTCTATGCTCTCCGCCAGAGGCTGACCCGCTTTCTCCGTATCCGGCTCATCACCATGTAATATTTCTTCCGCTAGCCGTTCCGATCCATCCCAAGCTGCATCGTCGTCCTGCTCGAATAGTACTCGTGCGCTTTTCTTTCGCGCAGACCGGTCTGCATTCTTAACTCGAGATGGGGTCGCTGCGGTTGCGGACTTGGGCTTGGTAGGTGTCGCGAACAAGCCCCGAGCCTTGGATTTTTGGGTAGGCGTTTTCAGCCCAGACTGCTGTAATGGAGTGGCGGAGACACCGTTCGCCTTCTTAGGTGTTGATTGACCCCGTCCTGATGGAGGAAGCTCGTAGGAAGCATCGCCGTTCGGGAGTGCGCCGTTGGGCGCGTGGCCGTTCAAGGCGCCATTGGATTGTTCTAGGGCTGTTCGTCTTCTCTTTGGGGTTGATACAGGCGGCTGATCGCCGGCGTCTGAGAGCTTACGCTTCATGACGTTCTAGTCAGATTTACAGTCACGTAGACGCGAAGGGGAAAGGAAGCAACAGTACCATCAGATCCGGAGAATGTGCACAGGGTCGGACGCAAGGGGCTTCCAAGGTCAATAAATTCGAGATCTTTGTATTTGTAGGGAGCTGCAGGTCTGACACTGGAATGTAGGGCTTAATTGGGGGCTTAATTGGGGCTCGAAGTGCTTGAAGGAATTAAATTGGAGCGGATGGGTTTCTCCGACTCCGCGTCTCCAGGTATGACGGCGACTTATCAACTACGCGACCTTGAAATTCAACAACAATTCGCGCGATTTTACCTCAGTTTGTATTCTATTTATTAGTTATATGGAATTTACTAACTTGATTTCTACTTCAGAGCGCTGGGCTGAAAAAGTCGCGTAAGTCATGTGCAAATTGCAGACCAAATTCCAGATTTCTACCACTTTGATGGCAATCTCCCTTCTTTGTGTATTCACACTTTACAATCATTTGATAGCGAATTCGAATTCGAATTTAGTATCTTCAGAACAAGAAAAGTTTACTCAGAATCCAGATCAGCTCTAAACCATCCTCCAAGATTAATGATCGATTGAGTCCTCGAGCAATTGTACAACTTCAATTTTACTTAGTCTCTCGGCGCAATCCAAAGCCGTGTCACCATTTGCATCTTTGATGCTCAGGTCTACCCCTTCATGAATCAGGAATCGTACAACGTCAACCTTTCCAAGCTCTGTCGCCTTGTGTAAAATGGTACCAAGTCCCATAAAAGCGTAAAGAGACCAGGAGAAGGCATGATTCTGATACATTGTCGCATTCAATGGAGCACCTTCCTTAAGAAGAAGTGTTAAGACCTCAATCACTTCAGATTCCATATCCATTGCGTGGAATAGAAGCTGGCCTTGTTGTGTGTCGCCTCCATTGCCAAGAAAGAGTTTAATAAATCAGACAGGTGCGTAGTGAACAGCATAAGAAAGTGGTGTCAAGTCAATCTGACATTTTTGATTCGGATCAGCCCCATGCCTGAGTAGCCATGACACCATGTCTTGGTCCTGGGCCACGAAACTAGAAATGACTCAGTTACGCGGTTCAGCTTTTGTAGGGAAGAGATTCTTACCCAAGTACCGGGGGCTGTGCGTCGCTTATTGGCTTGTTGATATTCCAGCCGTTCTTCAAAAGCGCTTCGAGGACATTCTTTGCCTTCCACTTCGCTGCTCCCAAAGCGTAATCAGGGTGCAAGGGTAGTCCATGGGAAAGAAGCGCCTCGGCGAATTGGGCATCATCATGTCTAACCGCATCTACCATGAATATATCCAAATCAAGTATGTGGAATTTGTCGTCTTGAGACAAGCGAGTCCAACATATTCCGAAAGGTTTCGATCTGTTTCTGATCATACACCAAGCGTAAATTGTTGATAATCTCAATGGGCGACCGTATTGGAACGCTTGGTAACTGTGAGAGGGTAGACGAGTTTCCTGACAGAATATGGACTTCCAGGACTGTTGAAATTTAATAAGTCAAACTGGATTGATGCAGCTAACTGATGATGGATGTAAAGAGAAGAAAATGAGGTGAGCAGGGCATTTTATACATATGTAACGTAACTATGTATGTCAATTACAGGGAGCTCCCGAGATCGGCTACTTTTTCCCTGGACTCTACGGGATTTGACTCACAAGAACATTGCCCTTATAAAAACCAGCTAGTGTGTAGCAAGTCTAAAATATATAGACAAGACTCACATATGGTTCCAACTACCCAATCTGCCACTATGGCCACCTCCCTCGCCCGAATGCTCAAGGGCCAAGTCCGATGCTACTCCGCACCGTTGGACATGGCCATTCCGGCCTCCAAACAGCGCTACATCCCCACGACTGGCACCTACCCCCAGGGATTCCAGGTATCCGGCACCCATGTAGGCGTCAAGGCCTCCAACACCCGCTTCCCGGATCTGGCACTGATCGCCTCCGAAACGCCATGCTCGGCCGCGGCAGTGTTCACAACCAACAAGTTCCAAGCTGCGCCAGTGCAAGTCAGCAGGAAGACACTACAAAGCCGCAAAGGCAATGGTATCCGCGCCGTCGTGATCAATTCAGGCTGCGCCAATGCCGTCACCGGTAAGGGTGGTCTAGAGGACGCAGTGGAGATGGGAAGAAAGGTAGATGAGTGCAGCGGTGTCGAGAACGACAGCTCGCTAGTGATGAGCACCGGCGTCATTGGACAGCGGTAAGTTCACCCGTGGACTACTATCCCATCAATTGCATAGCCCACCCCCCCCCCAAGAAATCACCATAACTAACTAAGAAACCACCCCACCAGCCTCCCGATCTCCAAGATCCTGGACCGCATCCCCGCAGCGCACTCAACCCTCGCCTCCACGCATGAAGCATGGCTCACCACAGCCCGCGCAATCTGCACAACAGACACCTTCCCCAAGCTCCTCTCGCGCACCTTCACCCTCCCCTCCTCCGCAGATCGCACCTACAGCCTCGCAGGCATGACCAAAGGCGCCGGCATGATCCACCCGAACATGGCGACTCTGCTCGGTGTCCTCTGCACCGATGCCGCCGTCGAGCCAGCAGCACTGCAATCTATCTTGAAACACGCCGTGTCGCGATCCTTCAACTCGATCTCCATTGACGGTGACACGAGCACAAACGACACCGTCGCAGTGCTGGCGAACGGTGCCGCAGGCGGCGAGACTGTGCGCGCACCGGCCGCGTCTGCCAGCGCCGACTACACCGCGCTCCAGGGCGTTGTGACTGATTTCGCGCAGGAGCTGTCGCAGCTAGTTGTGCGGGACGGAGAGGGCGCTACTAAGTTTGTTACTGTGCGCGTGCGTAACTCACCGGATTATGAGTCTGGGCGACAGATTGCTTCGACGATTGCACGCTCGCCGTTGGTTAAGACGGCTCTCTATGGGAAGGATGCCAACTGGGGCCGAATTCTTTGTGCCGTGGGTTATACGCAGGGTGTTGCGGAGGGTACTGTTGTCCCCGAGCGCACTTCTGTTAGCTTCCGTCCGGTCGATGGCAGTGAGGTTTTGAAGTTGTTGGTTAATGGTGAACCTGAGACTGTTGATGAGAAGCGGGCTAGTGCTATTTTGCAGAATGAGGATCTTGAGATCGAGGTTGACCTTGGTGGTGGTGAGCAGGGCGCTGCTGGGTGTGGTGGTGAGGATGCTGTTTACTGGTTCTGTGATTTCAGTCATGAGTATGTGACTATCAACGGTGATTACCGGACTTAAAAGATATTATTTTAGCATTGTTAGTGGAAATCGATGAATTGAGGGAATTATTTTGGGATTGAAGGTGGTTGAGAGTGGTGATGTCTATAGTTACGAAGAGCCGTTGAACTAACTGATAATATGAACAAGGTTGAGGATCATGGCAAGTTGAATATATGGTTTTCGTTTTTCTAGACACATATGGTTACAAGCCCCTACTAAACAGGGCACTTTTCATCGCTGAGCACCGTCTATCAAGTGACATTAGACCCATATGTCTTTACACATGGACATAGGACGCTGACAAGGTTGTGTCGACGTGCAGAGACTCCCCGAGAGGGGGCCTCAGGACGTTCATCGGCAGGTTGATCAACCTGCACGACTGAGTATCAATCGGTATAGTTCCAATTTAACCAAACAGACGGCGCCGATCCATTCACCCAAAAAGTATAACATAGAGCGGACAGAAAAAAAAGAGACAGAAAGTAAACAGAGAGGTTGCAAAGGACCGGTGTGATCCTATGTCATGCTGCTCGTGAAAATACGGACAGTCTCGTTTAGCTGCCGGGGACGAGGCCCTTGAGGCCAGCGCCAATGTCACCCTCACGGGCGGCAATTTCGAAGTAGCCGTAGATGATGCTGGATTGAGCTGTTAGCTGACATGAACGAAATTGTATTATCAACGGAGTAACTTACGTGACGGCAAGAAGAATACCAGTACCGCTGCCGAGGGCACCCATAAGGTCGGAGGCGACGGACAGACCACCAATGCAGGCACCACCGAAAGCAGCGGCGGTGGGGATAACGCGCTTCAGCTCCTTGTACATGCTCTGCTCACGGTGACCAGACATGACGAGGCCTTGATCCTTGAGCTGCTTGGCAACGTCACGGGGGGCGGAGCCGGAAACCTCAATCCAGGTCTTGGAGAAGAGGGCGCAGGCAACAAGCATGAAAGTGATGTAGACAGCAGTGTGGATGGGGTCGAGGAGAGCCTCCTTGAAGTTGAGAGGAGGGGACATGTAGTAAGCAATACCGGAGGCGGCGTAAAGCTGAGCAGATCCCTCACGGGGCTCCCAAACTCCGAGAAGCTGGACCAGGATGTTCTCAGAGAAGCGCGAGTACAGCATCTGACTGATAAGGAAGATGTTGGAGCAAAGAGCAGACTGGAGCATGATGGGCATGTTGGAGGTGTAGAAGAGGCGGACGGGGTAAGAGCCGCGCATACCACGCTGGCGGGAAGACTTGACGGGGATCTCAACACGGAATCCCTGCAGGTAGATGACAGCGGCGAAGACAAGAAGAGTAGCCAAGAGGTTCATGACGTTGGGAAGGTTCTGGCGGTAGAACGCCTCGTACAGGGCGCGCTGCTTATCGGGCCAGGTCAGGAGAAGGTGGAACAGAGCGATAATAGCACCCTCGAACTCGGGGCCACGGCCGGTGTTGATGGTCGTGGGGGAGAACGCCTTCCAGACAATCGACTCGCAAATGTTGGTGGCAATGAACAGGGAGATACCGCTGCCGAGACCGTAGCCCTTCTGGAGGAGCTCGTCAAGCAGAATAACAACAAGACCAGCCACAACCAGCTGGACAATCAGGAGAACACAGATACCGGCACCGAGGTCACTGGGCTGGCCATAGAGACCAGTCAGGACGTAAACACAGGCCTGGCCGAAGGAGAGAATGATAGCGAAGAGCTTCTGGGCAGTCTGGTAGAGCTCGCGGTCTGTCTTCAAGTCGAGGTTGACATCGATGAGGTGGGTACCGGCAAGGAGCTGGAGAACGAAAAATGTTAGTAAAATGGCCTCCAACCATGATAGGGGAGTGCTTTGGAATCGCATACCTGGAAGACCATTCCGGAGGAGATAATAGGGGTGATACCCAGCTCCATCAGAGTACCCCGGTTACTGGCCAGCATCATACGGAGCCAGTACAGGGGGTCCGAAGTGTCGGAGGAGACAATGCCGTAAAGAGGCATCTGACTCATGACCAGGAAGATCATCAAAGTCAACTGTAATGTAATTCCATTAGGATCCAAATCGAGCGTGCGCGGAAAGGGTGGATTCAGGGCGACATACACCAGTCCACATCAACTTCTGGTTGAAGGGCACCTTAGTCTCAGGAGCTGCCACCTCCGGGAGGAGGGGCGTAAAGGGCTTGATCAAGTCAAGGAAGCGTACTATATTCCTCTATTAGCATTTGACGATCCATTGAGGCGGATTCGAGACGGATTGTCGCGACCGCGTGCCAGGCGATTCGGAGACTCACGGCCGCTCATTGTGGCTATCTTCCTCCCAATCCGTTAAAGAAGAAAATAAAGCTGGAGTCGAAAACCAGCTAAAGGAATGGAAATGAAATATTAAGAGAAAATAAAACAAAAGGAGAAGGGTGAAGTTGTTGAGAAGATGGGGGAGGAGGGAAGAAGAAGACAAAAGAGGTTCGCTGGCCACTTTTCGCTTCCACGCTAATTAAGGCCACTTGGTCTTCGCCGCAACAACCAACTTCGTGACTCAACCAAAAAAAGTAATAGGATATTTGGAGATAACTACACTAATCTGAGCTTCAATTCAATACTCCAGTACTTTCTTTTTCCTGCTATTCTTTCAAGTCCGATGTGTTATTGCACCCCCAAGAATAGGGCTCCAAGCTATCCCCACACTCCAGAGGCCACGGTACTAACTACGCGATCGGGACAGCTCGAGGTCTACAACATATGGGGTAATTATCGGGAATAATATTGGCATCCATGCCTAAAATAAATATTCCAATTGCTTCGGTCATGTGAATATATGCCAGCATTCTATAAAGAGTATAATATTGCCACAAAAAAAATATATATATATATCTAGCGTCAAGGTCCAACAAGACCCAGACAATCATCAATGACCACCTCGAGCTCCCCCAATCGTGTCTTCAGGCCCCGGTTCTCGTCTTGCAGAACACCCATAACACTCCATGCCTCAGAAGCGGGCACGCCGTAGCAGTTGTTGCAATTAGACCCGTTGCCGTTGCCACCAGAGAAAGAGCTACCTAAACGCGTTGAAGCAAGACCCTTCAACACCCGATCATATGCTGATGAGCGGGCAGGCGGTGGTGCATTCGTGACCGCCACCAGGTTCTTCTGGATTGTAGGTGTTGGCATCGGGCCCGTTGGCGTAGACAGGGCGATCTGCGACATATTGGGAGACGGCGCTGTCAGCATAGAGGTGGGAGACTCGACACCTTCACGATGCGAGAAGACGCTATCCGCAACGCTCTCGTCACCGGACTCGAAGCCCGAGTCACTGGTGAAGGTGCTGTGGCTAGCACGCTTGCCTCCACGCCGAGGAGTTTGGAGCGCCATGGAAGGCACGTCGTCATCTGGATGTACGATACGCATTGTATCACTGCGACTGCGGGATTCCTCCGTCCTTCGCAGTTGTCTCTCTTGCTCTAATTCCTCGGCCATGGCCTGCATGGCTTTCTCCTGATCAAGCACCTTGGCGGCCATGCCATCCAGCTGCATCTTGAGATGATCGACTCTAGCGCGAGTCTCTTCGAGCTCCTCCTGCTTTTCGTTCTTGTCTGCTAATGCTTGATGCATGGCGAAGGTGCGCTGCTTATAGGCCTCCTGCATGCGTCGTAGCACTTTGTCGGCATGATCTCGTAGGGCATCCAGTGCCTCATCGTTGGTATCATGGGTTTCAGGTACTGAGAGAGCGGCAGTGATGTCCAGGTTCAAAAACTCATCATCTGCTGGTTCCGGGAAGTTGGGTCTGCTTGGTTGTCGACGCAAACCGAAGAATGAAAACCGATTCGTCGGGGTCGAGTTCTGCCTTGTATGTGACATGGATGTTGGAGTTGGGCGGGAGTTTAATCCGGTCACATCTGAAGAACCGTTGGGGCCCATTTTCAGTCCCAACTCGACCGGATCTGATTTCCCCTGGAACCAATCTGACAAGACCCTGGCTCTTGCTTCAAGCTTCTTCTTCGGGAAGGTTTCCGTCCAAGTTGTATTCTTCGGGCCTGATATCGTGTCGTTGGTGCCTTGCTCAAAGAGTGGGGGCCTTGCAATATATTCAGTGTTTGCCCGCCGATGTGAGGGCGGATTGTTAGAGCGATTTCGCGAGGTTGGCTGGACCGACGATCTTGGGGGCGTCAAGGCAACGGTCCCGTGAGGGTGAGTGCCATCGGAATGCAGGGTGACAGGTGCATGGGAGAGATCGGGAGACATGTTCTGAGGGGTTATTTCGAAGGCACAAGCAGACAGAATGGAAATGCCACGTCGATTCACGCCCAATGTGGCGTTGGTGTGCAACCTGGGGGTATGATTTGCAGTAGGGGGGGGTATGAAGGCCGATCAAGAACAAAACAGAGACGCCCTAGGATCTATTCAATGATCAAACAAAAAAGGGTATAGGTAGTTTCAATGAAGTGATCGTGTTTCAAACTGTTAAGACTTGATTTTTTTTTTTAGAATTTGAAACCAAAAGAGACGACAAGAATTGGCGACAGGAAAACAAGAGGCTGGGGAGGAGGAAATAGCGGTGGCTGAACGGCCTGGAGCTCTCTTTCTCTCCACCTCCATGATCCACCACATCTTCCTTTTCCAATCTGATTACTCCGTAATTATAGCAAATTGGCATTGCCTCCCACTAGACTTCTTTCGAGTTTGATACCGTCATCGTCTATTTTGCCGCTCCCGCTGTGCATGGTTTCAGCTGCACGAGGATCTGCGTCATCGCACGTTTTCTGCAAACTCCCAGCGTCATGACTTCCAGCCTGAAGCATTTATCCAATGTCCTGGCAACGCCTGACCAACTATCCAAATCTTCATCATCCATCGACAATGTCCCATCTGACCTTGAAACCTCCATTCGTTGTGCGGGCGTCCAGCTCACTCAAACTGCCGGGGTTCTCCTACACCTATCGCAAGATACAATCGCCCAGGCAGTCGTGATCTTCACGCGTTTTTGGCTTGGCGCTGACGGGGGTAGCTTGCGGATCTACTCAGTCAAGGTAAGTCCAGCTCCAGGAATTCTAAATATTTTATTCTGATCTGATCCACTAACCGGAGCAGGATGTATCCGCCGCAGCCTTGTACTTGACCGCTAAGCTCTCCTTCCGACCAACCTCTCCACGTTCTGTTCTCAATGTCTACACATTCCTCCTGTCGCAAGATGCATCACCCTTGTGGTTTGTGAGGCAGAGCGGGGCTCCTGAAACCCCTCCATCTCCCGAAACGTACATCCTTTCCGAGGGAGGCTACCAGTCTGCCCGGATAGTCCTTCTCCGCACCGAAATGGTTATCCTCCGTACTCTCGGCTTTGATACACATGTCGCCCTCCCACACACCATCGCTTTGACCTATCTTCAAACTTTGGGTGTGGCAAAGCCCGCTGTGGCTCAACGGGTCATTCAGCACCTCAATGCGGCGCTGCTCTCACCGCAGCTTCTTTATGTTGCTCACCAACCAAATGCCCTGGCTGTGGCTGCCATCTACCTCGCTTCACGCGAGGAGGAGGTCAAGCTTGTGGATGGCGAGTGGTGGGAAGTATTTGATGTCGATCGTGAAGAGCTGGGCTTTTTGGTCGTAGGCATGAAGAGTACAGAAGGCTTTATGCGGGCGGAGGTCAGTCGGTGGAAGAGCAGAGCTATCCCAATGGTAGTAGATGAAGTGGATGCCGAAATTGAGCGGAGGCGAATGATGGAGGAAGGTGAATGAATGAATGTGCTTTGGTCTTTACCGAGAACATCCAATTCCAAGCCCAAAGGTTTACTAAGGAGGATGTTCTGGTAGAAGCTGGAAAGCTATCTACTAAATCATCTACTGCGTGGTGGCAGGAATGCTGCCGATCAACGGAAGGCTTAACCGCCAGATGGCTTGCAAGACCCTGCTCCACCTAGAAGGAATAGCAACACCCAACAGAGGACGGCCTCGTCTCTGCGGATGTGGCCGAATATGCGATCAGACGATTAGCTGTTTCCGCGGCATTGGACAATCTCCAGGGAATTCCGCGGCCTGTCCGGCTGAACCTATATGTGACATACCATATTTCCTCCTGTGGCCGTAAGAGTCAAAGTAGATGTACGAATGCTATTCCAAAGACTGACATTATAGCTAGTTAAATTGCTGATCATAACTGAACGACATAGATTTTTCCGTCCTACTCCATATGCTCCGCTCGAGAGACACCCTCAACAGCCTGGTGATTGTGTCCTCCAATATGCGCTCCACATTCAGGGCATCTCGCTAGCTCCATCGGCATACCACATTCGCCAATGGCAAACTGAAGAAAGACACAAAATGTTAGCTTTGTATCTCGCTAAGAAGACCTCGAATATTCCGCAAATGATACTCACAGGATGTCCGTTGATACAATTGTACCAATGCCCAGAGTTAGTCGCCATGCCTCCTCGCCCGTCAACCATGGCAATCTTGATGGATGCAAGTTCCTCTGGCGTGACCTCTTCGTATCGAGGATCTTCATATAGACGATTCATTTCCTCGACTTTCTCGCGAAGCGCTTCACAATTGCCTAATTCATCACAGAGGTGCAAAGCATCGGCAAGGAACCCACGTGCCGTATTCCTGCGGTTATCACGCGATTCTAACGCCGTGCTCTGTCCTTTTTGATCTGTTTTACCATTTGTGGCCGGTGGATGAGTTTGATGGTACCATCCGAACAATTCGGAGACCTTAGCAAACATAAGGGTTGCCGTAATGACGATACGGGAGAGGCTCCCACCCTTCGCTTGGATGATCAAGTCCTGACAGTCCTCCAGGAACAGTATTGTGAGCCGATTAAGCCGAACATCGAGGATTGGCTCCTCGACCTTCGTGTTTGAATTCAACAGTCTAAACTTATCGTGAAGAACAAATTCTCCGGCCTTGATAGAGATCAATCGTGCGCCAAGGGTTATCTGATTGTCAGGTGTGGGTGTGGATATTCTCAGTGTTTCAAGTTGATCGGAGATAGAGATGGCTTCGTCATCTGATGACCTTTGGCGCAAAGCAATAGCATCTTTGAGTCGCTTCGTCGGTTGATGCTCTATATCCATCATCTTACTGAGGGATGTAGCTTCTTTTGAAAGGCGCACAAATGCCGTATATCTGTTCTTTATCTGTGCTTTGGCAAGGCCGGGCAGTGTTGCCGTCGTGTCTTTGGCAACAATTGCATCTGTGAGGGCATTCAAATGAGAATCAAGGGCTTCAAGATCGCTGCGTCCTTTGATTAAGAAGCGCTTGCATGTTTCGTCCATAACAGCTCGATTGATAACACGATTGTATCGTTTTGTTACGAACTGACGAATGGGCTGTTTACAATCGGGACATGATGGTATGGTGCTGGCAAAAGAAGCAGACACATCCTAGGCCGTCGAACTTACCAGACCCATCCCTTGTGTACACTTCATCTAGGCCGACTAGACCGTCGACCGACTCACTCGTAAAGAAGTGACCGCATCCGAGGACGACAATTGGGCTCTCGTCCAGGTTAATTTCAGAATAAGATTTCCATTCAATGAAATCGACACGAGCATCTGGCTTGTCACCGCATTCTTGACACAGACCACTTGGACAGTCTTCTCCGCAAATGCTTGGACACTGATGACCACAGTCGAGAATTCTGGTGCATCGCTCATCACACGGAAGTCGGTCACACGGTGCTGCGCAAGGCATTGAGCAGGAGCCTTTATGGGGACAAACCCAAGTGCATTTTTCGATACATGGTGCACATGCCTTTCCGCAGGTGGAGGCACAGGCTGAGTGGGAGCATCGAACCTTTTTGGTGTTAGCATAATGCAAATGGTAATCGGCCTTGTCATGTTCTTTTTTTTGCTGTCTTTCAGAGTCTCTTCAGAGCCTCCCCAGAATCTTCTCAGATGTATACAAAGGTGGGAAAAAGCATGTATATCCAATAAGACTAACTCACCTCGCATTTCGCTTCATAATTCCCACAACTTTCACCATCATGGCATACCTTCAAGCACCTATGACTGCAGACACCATGTGGACGGTCACATTTCTTTGTGTATCTTGTATGATTAAACGACACCACGCCATCTTCGCCTTTCTCGGAGCACATCCCACAGAGACCTCCACAATTGTGACCATATCTGAGAATATCGGTGCATGGCTTAGTGCAACAGAAATTCCCAGACGTAACATCAATGAAGCAGGCGAGTCGGAGAACATGGCCACACTCGGAAACAATCTTGTCAACTTTGAAGTCACACTTGATAGACTCTAGATCGCGTATCTGGTGACATATCAGCGTCTTTTTCATATGGCCGTAAGGAAGCATCACGTCGGGGATTTTGACCATGCAAAGACCGCACTCCGTACCACAGAGCTTAGGACATGCATGGTCATAGGTCTGCCGAATTCGAGGATAAGGCTTGCAGCATGCAAAACCATGATGTATGAACGATGAGTGGTATTTTGCCTGGCACTGGTAGCTATATGGCTCGAGACGACGGGTGTATGGGAGATTATATCCGCCTTTAGGGCTCTTTCTCTTAAATTATTGAGGCTCTGAGCAGAGGATAGGTACTTCTGGGTGGCGGGGGCAGTATAGGGCTAGTTCGGTGCCGACCGCGTTCGTGAGGATAAGCTGAGCGTGAACATCGGCCTATATTGGGATATTGAGGTAGGTATGGGAATTCCCGATTAGGTATATCCCGTGCTGTGCTCGACTAAGGAGCACATTGATGCGGTTCTTAGTGCGTAGAAAGCTAACTTGTCGTTTAAGTTGCTCCGAACTAGGGAGACGACGATTACCTTTGCCTCTTCGCCTTGGAAGTTATCGACGGTGGTAAGGCGGAGCGTCTGAAGGAGCGTTTTTCTTTCGATAACTTTTGGAATTCCTGCTTGATGAGGGTTGTCTATATCCACTCCGAGCCCCTCGGCTGCTAAGGTCTCCAAATCCCGCTCGCTAAGATAGATTTCGAAATCTTTGCTGAGCGATGCCCTGAGCTTCTGCAATTGACTAGTATAGGGGGTCAAGAGAGCAATATTATTGCTCTTATACTCTCCCTGTCTGATAAGATGGCGTATAAGAGCGGTCGCTATGTCAACCTCCTACTGATTGCTATATGATTTCACACAAATGTCGTCTTCTCTCGTGTCTTTATCACGTCGATGGTCTAGCTAGAAGAGGTTCTCTCGCATTCCGACGACGTTGGGTAGATTTATAACGCTTTTATAATCTTATAGCTTTGGGTAGGCTCTTCTAATGAGTTGCGAAATCTCGGGTCTTATTCTTCGCTGTACATTGAGTTGTGCAACAGGTATAGGATTAAGGCCTGGCTCGCCGACCGCACGCCTCTCAAATTGGCTCCGATCCAACTGCCAGGCTTTTCTAGATGATGACTTAAGGCTAAGCGAGTAATTTTGAATTTGGAGCCGGAGCTATCGGTGATCGCCGATCTAAATAAAGTGCTCTACGCCCGGTATGAGGGATGAGATGATATACGCCTCTATCACCTCGGCTACCTCTTCACATATAATAACTTTTGCGCCTATACGGCGTAATGTCTCGATATTTCGCGTAAGGGACGTTGTCGTGATACCTACAACGTGGGCTTGAACTAGGGCTCGTCGGTCTATCTCTTCGTGGACGGCGTGTATGTTTCCACGTAAACCCTCAGCGCTCTTAACTACCTTAAACAGCGAGGCACTTTCGTTTTCACACCATTGCTTAAACCAGCTTGTTGCAAGAATCCGGCGCTCTGACTTAGAGAGATAATGGATATTCCGCTCGGCAGTGCGTATCAGGTTCTCTAAGCGCTTATGATCAGCCTCGTCTATATCTTTATATTTCGAGCAATTCATCGATTTGACTCCCAGCCAGTTCAATAGGGGATCTTCGGTGACCATTTGGTAGCCCTTCATATCCATCAGATCTAGCTACGCGTATATTATAGGCCACTTAAGACGCAAAAAGTGCTGTATGCCTTTCCACGTTGCGCTATTTCGAGACTGATATAGAGGTTTTGTGGAAAACCCGGCTATTTTCATGGTTTCCTCGAGCTCGCTGTAGGCTTGGCCGAGGGTTTGCGACTCTACTCTTATCTTACTGATGTTTTTGCTAATAACGCGAAGGTTCTTGCCTTCAAGCTCAGTGGCCTGACTACGGCCGCCAATTCGTATGATCTTTTGGATACCGACATCGAGAAGATGTTTCAGGAATTAATCCAAGGCATGATTGGTGTAACACCTATCAGTTAAGTTAGCCATATGATTCCGATCATCCCTGACTATACATCATCCAAAGAGATATCGAAAGAGACTCCCAAAAGGGGCACCCAAAAAGACATCCAAAATGGCATCGGAGTGTCTAACATATGACGTGTCTGATATCCTTTCTGGTCAAGTAGATCGACCCCGGGGATTATTAATACGTCGTCAAGCACAAAGGCCGCATGAGCAGCCGACTATTCTTGTCGAAGATTGGTAGAACAGTACTTACATAACGATAATTGGCCCTAGATTTGCTCTTGCCTTGATGGCGAGGAGGACCTGAACAAGCTTGACTCCAACGTGAGACTTCCCCGTACCCGGCGGGCCTTAGATCATGGCATATTCCCGTGTGAGAGCAGCAACAAGTCTATGGCACTGGCCAAGGTCGAGACCAGTCAAAGCTCCTAGCTCTTTGATGTTAAGAGACTCCGGGGAATTGGGATCCAGCTTAGTATCTTGAGCTCGGTGTTTTGTGATCGAAATAAAGGAAAAGACAAATCCTAGTTTTCGGGCGTACGCCGGTGGAGGTATATTGATCCTCTTGTCCTCCCCGTTCCGGCCTGGCAAAATCTATTTCTGGAATGCCAACTCCCCTTCACGCTAAACACGCTGTAGATTTCTTAGGATTGGGGCAAATGTTGTAGGAATGAGGCTATGGAAGTCAACGAGAGTACCTGGAATTTTCGCGCTGTAAATTTGGCCGAGGAGATTCAGTTCTTGTAGCAAGCATGTCGCGAGCTTCACTGTAATACTAGGCGGGTACCGATTGGAGACAAGTGTGCTTTTAGCTTTGTCTGTTTGGTCCTGGGAGGAACACTTGGATGTTACTTCGAGAAAAAGCAGCCTTTTGCGGGTGCTTTCAGAAGTCAAGAAGCACACTAAGCTCCCTTCTTCTAGTCGGTTGGAATTATTCCACTACCTGCACTGCTCTGTAAGAGGCTTTTTGCGCAGTTGTGGCGGGGTAGAAAAGGATACTGTCGCTTCAAGCTCATTTCTTCGATTGACGAAAATATGCTGAATATGCGATGCTATGTAGATATGCGCCCTACTATCCTTGTTCGATAGGTAGGGATTGGGGCCATCTTGTTGCAGTAGGTCTCGCAGCACGTCTTTGACAGAACCCAAGATGTCATGGCGCAGAAGCCGGAATGTGGAGTCAATATATCTTAGCATAGGATCCGCGATGAAGTGCGGCTGGGAAAAGTTGGTGGATGGTAGATACTCTGAGCTGTCACTGACAATTTCTCCTTGTGTCGGAAGAATCTGAATCTGCGAGATTTCTGCAAGATCGTTGTCATGTCTGCCGCCAGGAATTTCGATGTCCATTGGAAATTTCGACTGAGCTAGCCCGGTCTCAGCGTCCTGGCCGTTCTCTTCCGGGACTCTGGGTTGAACAAGACTACGGTGTGCGCTTGCGACCACATTTCGCATAATTTCTGTTCTGTTGTCAAGCGCCTCAACGTCGGCATTGGGGCATACTTTGGCTATCTTTTGGACTAATTCGTGGAGTGAGCCGAGAAGTGAAGGAAGATCATCGTGGAAGCGTGCCCGTCGGACCCTGTACAGAAGCTGATACAGAGCATTCAACAGCAATTTCACCATATCTGGAGTGACGAGGGTTTGATCATTGTCATTCTGTTTATCACTGTTTACTATGCAGCGACAAACGCTCTCCAAGAATCCGATTGCCCGATCTCCATTCGGGCCGCCGAAGGTTGCGTACATCGTGCCAACAAATGAATCAACAGAGAGGCAATCCAAGATGGAAGGATGGGTGATGACTTTGAGAAACGGCTCAACGTAAGCGGGAATACTGTGAGTCGAATATCGGCCAGATGTGTCAATAGTTGCCAGGATGAACCCATTTCCATCAAGATCGTCATCCACGAGGTCTCTGACAAGAAGCTGTTGGTCCCCTGTATTCTCGCTATCAAGGATATCAATAGCCCCTTCCCACATCCGAAGAATCTATTCATGTCCCCTCCGAGACCTCGCACCGATAAAGTTTCTTCTTAGGATTTTCTTCCAGTCAAAGTATCGTTTCCGGGTGCTCGCATCATCAGTTGTGGGATCGGGTTTAGATCCGCTAGCTCTTGTCAGGTCGTGAGAGAACTTGCAAGTCGAGCCATAGGTACAACTGCCACGCTGAAATTGCCTGCAGATCTTGTCACTTTGAGTACAGGCTTCGAAGTTATTCAGCCGGCCTGGATTGCTTCTATGGCCTTGGCCTCGGAGTCGCCGATTTCCGCGGCCAGCCATGATCGTGAAAGGGTAAAATGAATCCTCGGTTAGGGTATGTCTATTATCTGTACAACCATCTAGGATTGCTGTAGGTGGACAGAGAAATACTTTTTTCAAGAAACGTGAGGTTTTCTAAACAGATATCCAATCGTTGGTTATGGTGAAGTAGGAAAGGTTGAGCAAGTAGGGGAAAGGAGGACGGCTAATCTTTTAGAAAAGTAAGGCTGGCAATGTAATTATAGGTCATGGGGTCACTAGCAAACAAGATGCATTTGCAAAGAGCAAACACCGATATTCATATGCCTTAGGCTACTCAGATTATCTTGTTCAAAATGGTGAAGACTAGGAATCACACTCATTCCCAGCCTCAACTTCATATATTTTAGCATAAAATATAGGTTAAAATACTGAGAGTTAAAAAGTAAAGATGCTATATACTATGAAAGCCCTATATATGGACATATAGTACGGAAATATAGTACGAGTAAGGAAGAAGCCACTAGTTAACTAGTCGCTAGGGAACACTACACATCTGCACATCCTAGGTAGCTCTTCAGCCTAAAACTATATAGGTATCCAAATAGAAGGCTATTATTTCAGAGGTTTAAAGAAATTGGGTTATAAATGGAAATAATGAGGACTCACATCCTTTGGTGTAGCACGTCGATATAGTATAACTAACTAACTAGTTGCCCAGGTGACCTTTGAATAAAATAATGTTATTATGTAATCACATAGGTACCAATCACGTGCAACCATATCAGTTCAAAATGACGCTCACGCGGGGCGGATCATGTGCTCCACCGCTTATCATTTACCCTCCCCCCGCCGTTTCTCTTGTATCTCTTTCTTCACTCTTACCTGTGAAGCACTATGAATATACTACACTCTACACTGTCAACCTGGCGGGACCGCCTGGCCCCGGTATCACGCACTTCCACCTTCCGCAACACTGGTCAAATCACTCCAGAGGAGTTTGTTCTCGCCGGAGATTATCTAGTCTACAAGTTCCCCACATGGTCATGGGCCGACGCATCGAGTCCGGCAAAACGGGTATCCTACCTCCCAGAGGGCAAGCAGTTCCTAGTTACACGAGGAGTGCCATGCCATCGGAGACTGAACGACAACTTTGCCGGAGATGCAGGGTTGGAGGATGAGATTGTGAGGGACTTCCTCTCAGGCGGTGATGGCGGCGAAGGCCCAACAGCCGACAGTGGAGAGGATGGATGGTTGCGGACTGGCGGTGGCCGCGACGCTGGGGCAGACCATGATAAGCAAGAAGCTCGGATTCGCGACGTGCGAACCGTGGATGAGTCCGGGAATCTGGGCGAGCAGGAGGATGATGATGATATCCCGGATATGGAGGATGAAGACGATGATGAGGAAGCCATCATCAGAGAGACAGATGATCAGTCAGGAGCACAGTGAGTGTCATTTCTCTGTCTCCAGCTTCGCCTTTGTATCTCTTTTTCTAACCTGTGACTCGCTATCACTCCAGATCTCTCCGCACTTATACCCTTTACATTACGTACTCGAACTTCTACCGCACACCTCGGCTCTACCTGTCCGGCTATTTGTCGGCGTCCGAACCACTTCCGCCACATCTAATGATGGAGGATATTGTCGGTGACTACAAAGACAAGACCGTGACGCTAGAGGACTTCCCATGGTTTGAGGGCAGTGTCAAGATGGCCAGCGTACACCCGTGTCGCCACGCCTCTGTGATGAAGACACTTTTGGATCGTGCCGATGCCGCACTCAAGCTCCGTCGTGACAAGCTGAAGCAGACACAGTCACGCGAGGAAGCGAACCGCGTTCTCCGGGCAGGCGGCGGGCTGGAGGGCTTGGTGGATGAGACAAAGAATCTGTCCCTCGGGGATTCCCACCACGCACAACCTGGCGGAGACGAATGGGAGATGCTGCAACATGATGAGGAAGAACAGGTCGCCATCCGAGTAGACCAGTACCTGGTTGTGTTCCTCAAGTTCATTGCCAGTGTGACGCCGGGCATTGAGCACGACTTTACGATGGGAGTATAATTTCTTTGGATTCGATCCAGGCATGACATGACATGAGTTTGGCGTTAATCTGCTTCTGGGAGTACGGATAATCTCCCTTCCCCCTTCCCCCTTCCATGGGTTGCTTTTGCTTTGTATTATCTTCAGTGGCTTTGGGAAGTTTCCCATGCCAAATTTACTACGATCCGTGAAGATTCCAGTGTAGATATATATAATATCGCATCGCGAGATCAATACATAGCCCCTAACATTTCCGAAGTAAGACCGGGGAATTGAAACTCGAGCTACTCGCTAGTTTTGCCCCCGATTGATGAATGTAAGGATCATCTCTTTGGGTATGCAAATGCGTTGGTAATACTCCCAACAGGGTACTCAGTGACCAAAAGAGTCATGTGTACCATGTATGATTTTCTCGGCTGCAAGAGTTAGCTCCATTCCAAACTCACACTGACTCTTTCTTGAGATCAGTTATTTCCCCCGGTAATATTATTGTGGAGGGTGACCAGCTAACTAGGTCTGTTGGCATCATCGACTGGGAGGCTGCTGGGTTCTTTCCTAGAGAATGGATCGGGAACACATCTGCACATTACTATATCTACTAGTACTTTACTTGAAGAATCGGTGTTATATCTCAAAGTAGTATATTCGAATTGAGAATAATAATATCAAAAGCCAGAAGTAAGTAAGAGCAAAACGCATAAGAACTCCGAACAGTGCAAAGCACACGCGGATATCGTCCAACGTGAAGATAATGGATAAGCATGCGCAATAGTAGTTGGCCAAAAGCCAAGAAGGAGTAAGTAATAAAGATCGGCTCTCACGAATGAGCACAGAAGGTACAGGTAATCTGGGGGTGAGTACACCAGCCGACGATGACAAATTGTAAAGGAAAAGAAAAAAGTAAACAAGGAAGAATATAGGAGATACAAAGAGATAACACAGGTCCGATCAATCATTAGATAGACCAAGCACGTCGCTGACAGGTGGATGATCTAGCTGGGTCGTTTTCGCCATTTTTCATTCGTGTCCGGTAAATGTAAGGTGAAGCCGGGGGGAGCTTTACTGGAAGAAAGTCACGATAACGGGAAGAGCCAGTGCGAGGATGGAGGCTGGGACGAGAGATGAGGCGGCGTTGAAGGTGGGCACGACGGGAACGGAAGGAACAGCGGAAGGCGAGGCCGATGCAGTGGGCACGGCGGGGTGGATCAATGGGGTGGATGACTGGGCGGGGACCACGGATGACCAGGCGGCTGGGACAGTGGTGAGAGGGCCGGAGATGGGGGTGGTGAAGGTGGGAGGGAGGATGGCGGGGACGCCAGTCCAGGTAGGAGGGTGGGCAGTCTCAACGGGGGGAGTGGTAATTTCGGTGGGAGGGGAGACAGTGGTAGTAGGAACGACGACAACGGCAGGAGGCTCAGGGCAAGGGTAGCCGTCCTGGTGGTGGTGCTCGCCATTGCCGGCTTTGACGTTAGGGCCACCGGGGATACCAACGTCGACACCTGCGCCAGCGCTGTGGTCATCGCCTGAGCCTGGGCTGCAGGGGCCGCGGTGGGAGTCGAGGAATCCGGCGCCAACGTTCACATAGGGACCGCCGGGGATGCCGACTTTAACGCCGCTGCCGGCGGAGGTCTCGCTGTTTCCTGGGCCCTGGTTGGTGGTCTCAGGGAATGGGAGAGCGGGCAGCTGGGGAGCAGAGAGGACGGTGGCGGGGCCAAGAGCAAGGACGAGGCACATGAGGCCGGAGAAGTTGATAGTAGTGGAGACCATAGTTGCGATAGTGTGGTTTTTGCGGTTTATTTGGAAGAGAGATGAAAGGTTGGTGATTAAATGATTAAATGAATCCGAAGATTGAATTTATAAAGTGATTGAAGGAGAGTTGGAAAGAGAAGAGTGAATGACTGTTTAGAGATTGATGATTGATGGAGAATCAGAATGTGAGGCGTGAACAATGATCCTTATGTACTTTTTGGCACCCATGCAAAGTATACACTTGAACAGTATCATGGAGGGAGCCAAGGGCTCTATCCAGGACGAGATAGGACCAGATCGTGAGATTTCTGCAAGGCACGAACTAGTCCTTGGTGGCACTCATCTAAAAAAAAAGCCACAGGGGCAGTGATCTGCAAGGCACAAAGTCAACGGTCACTGCCGGGAAAGAAATCATGAGAGACATCAGGTCTTAAGGGGTCTGGAACTAAGTCATTCGTGGAAATTAGGACATACAAGCAGCATGGTTCGATAGTAACAAGCTGTAGCTCTGTAGAGAGACTAGATCTACCCTGCCGAGTAGTGTAAAGTTTATGCACGAGTCTTCCCCAAGTATTCTGAGCTGTCGTAGCTCAGCTAAGACAGGATTAGCAAGATGTTCATTGTATGGGAAGCACTCTATTGCAGATGGAGTGCTTTGGGGGGATAGGAAAACACGTGTGGCCGAATGGGGAAGCAAAGTTGTATGCAAGGGATAGTAGACAATTAAGGCACAGAGACACTCAGATCCCTCTCTACAAGAAACTTTCCAAGGAGCCAATCAGGACATTGGACTAATATTCAATGCATATAAATCACACGCAAGGAACTCGAACACAGGCGAGTCCATATGAAACTTGCTAGGGCTGTTGGCAGTTGCCTGTCGAGTCAAGCAGGTCATCCCAGTAACGAAGACTGACCTGGGGGAAATCTGAAACATTTGAAACAAATGAGGTTGTATTGCACATATCGGCATATATCATAATCTCGTGAGGTATTTCGCCAGAAGGGAGAACAGAAGATGGGGGAAAAAAAAAGGTACAGCATCAAAAGCATATGCAACATGAAGAAAATCCACAATAGACATAGTAGGACCTATCTCACATGCAGATCGGAAAGATCCAAGTTGTATATGGGAAATATATGTTTCCTTACAATTGACCCGAGTTCGATATTCCAAATGCAGTACCAAAATTAGTAGATTTCTTGAATTTGATTTCAAGTTCTTGCTCGCCTTGGCGAGGGAACTCAGACTCAGAATCAGTCTCATTGGGATCGGCCGATTCAACCGAGCTGCCTAGAATACTCTTCGCTTGAACAAGGAGTTTCTGATCCAGTTCGCTCAAAAAACTGGAGTCGTGCTCCTCGTCATTAATCAGACCGAGGGGTCCCGTGAGAGCGGGGTCGTCTGGCACATCAGGAAAGTAGGAGATCTTATTTTCGGTGGGTTGGTGAACGTTCGCCACGGGCTCAAGAGGGGCCTCTTCAATGTGGGAGCCAACCTCGAGGGGAGTCCCCTCCTGGGTGGACCGACTATCATCAACGTCGATGATCGCCATCGGGGTGTGACCTGCATGGCGGAGCAAGTTCTCATTGGGTGGGCCAAGCTCTGACAGCTTCAATTTGAGACTGTTTCGATGCTCCATGATAGGCCTTGCAGCGGTTGAAGGGGCAGTTCCAGGGGTTACCAGGGGCGACGGGGAGGGCGGGGTGATCACTCGAGCTACCACGGCAGGTGGCAGCGCTGTGGACTTGAGCGTGATACCATCTAGGGTCCTGTCAAGCTTTTCAATCGGCACCGGCTGACTCACAGGCGCTCCAGAAGGGTCTAATGGTCGGGATCGGGGTGAAAGAGCCCGATCAAGGGATGGCGGATTCCCACTTTCGGAGATTGGCGATAGATAGCTTTGGTCTGGATATTCGTGGTCGAAGAACACCCTTGTTGGCCTATTGCCTGGACTTGTCCCCTCCCACACTTGAGCCGCAAGGCCATTTGTGTTATACTGCGATATTCCACCTGCAAGTACAAGTTTGGCGGCGTCCGATCCCAATTGACTTGTTCTGTTCCCTTGGCTTTTGACAAGCACCTCCAACTCAACAATTTTCGATCGTAACAACGCCCGCTCTTTCTCCCATAATCGGCGCTCTTGCGCAAACAATTCCCTCTCTGTCTCGAAGTTCAGCCGTTGGCTCTGGAGAAGCGCCCGCGATTGGTCTATATAGGAAGTATCCATGGTGAACGAATTCACCAAGGCCGAGTCTTGGAATGCTGTTCGGCCGTAGCCTGAAATTATAGGAGGAAATGTGGCTGAAATAGATTTTGTGCGACGGATTGGTGTTTCGGTCGGAGAAAAGCGTACTTCCTTGTAGAGACTTCCGTGGCCGTCTGGTAATTTGGTAGTTTTCATGGTGTCTGAGATTTGATTTTTCTCACGATAAAATGAGCGCAAGTCGGCAGATAAGGTTATATAACTATTAGGGAGAGGATAGTACTCCGTAATGTGGACGATATGATAGTACGATAAATCACGATAGTGCCCAACCTGCAGAGCTGTGGGCTTTCCACGTTGAGACCTGTGGAGTTTCTAGAAGCGGTCAATGTGCTCACAACACTTGGCCATGTAATATGCCGGAATTTCATGCGAGGTTCCCGATACAGCACACGTCAAGCCTCGGGTCACGCGTTCGCAGGTGAATGGATGCTAGTTGGGCAGGTTTAGGATTTGGGTAGCTTTTGTAACTTTTTTTCAGGTACCAAGTGCCAAGTTCCTAAATTCCTATAAGGAGAGGAGAATAGAGAAGTAAAGATGTTAAATATTCAAATATTCAAATATACATTGAACATCCCCACATATTCCGGGGAAATGAGGAGGGTTACATGGGAGAAGAGAAAAGAGAAGAGAGAAAAGAAAAGAAGAAATGCAACTGGACGCATCTGACCAGAACGTATGACGTCAAAAGGCCTTGAATAGGAAATGTCATTAATAAGATGATTTAGGATGGATCTTATTGTTGTATATATATGTGTGTTGTATATTATATATAGATCATCTCTATGTGTGTAAATATATAACAAAAAGCATGTTGTGGCATCTACAAAGGGAGGATCCTGCCTACTTCACTACCTGCTGAGGGATTTATGCCTGAGGCACCAGTTAAAGGCCTAAGGCCAACACCATAACAAAAATATATATATCTACCTACAACATAGGTAGAATTCACCTTGTATTCCGTATATTGTACTGTATTAGTGGAATCAACAAGAATGGAGAGAGAGTTAAAAAAAACCAAAAAAAAAAAAAACAGCCCGGACGCCTTAGTTCCGCCATTTACGCCAAAGATGTGCCACATTAAAACCTTTAATATGCACTTGACTGGTATAATGCGCGCTCAGGCATTATGACGCAGAGCTAGCAGGGCTAGTCTGCCAAAAACAAACCCGAAAAAGTCAAACCAAATCACCCGAAGTTCGCAATGCTAAAAGATGCAAAAAGATGCAAAAAGATGCAAAAAGATGCAAAAAGAAAAAAAGGGGGAAGCCCTTAGTAAACAGACGAGGCCTGCCGAACCCGACTTGGCGCAACCAAGTTCTTCTTGAAATCCAAAGACCAAGCCGAACACCCCTTAATAGACCGACGACCATCTGGCTGTCTCAACGGCGAACGACTCCGCCAAACAAACTGCTGAGCCTCATCAAGCAGATGATGATCACCATTCGGCAGCGGATAGAAGCTCACATCCTTACACAAAGTGCCGAAACGCGTCGCAAGATCAAACACCCCTCGGGCCGTGAGATCCCGACCACCAACGTTCGCAGACGGATAATAGTAGCGCGGATCGAGATAAAGCAGCACACTATTCCAGCACGGAAGTTTCTCGGCCAGAAGCCGTGCGGCGGCCTCGTATTGCTTTAGCGTGCGCTTCGGCACGCCGGTCTGCGTGTGCACGAAGAAGAAGACCTCGAAGCCGACGCTGCGGATGCGCGCACGCGCGGTTGCGCTGAGCGTATCCAGGAAGTCGGCTAGGCGGTCCAGATTGAAGGAGTTGCGGAGGAAGAGCGTGTGCGTTGAGTAGAGGTAGTCTTCGACTTCGTTGTGGAGTTGCCGGTTCACCGCGAGTAACTTGCGTGCGGTGCCGTCTTCGCCAACCCAGTGCGGACTCATTGATAATGCTCGGTATTGACCGCGGGCTGTGAAGGTGTTGCCATGATCGCCTAGTACGATCATCGGTTTGCTGACTAGGTACTCGTTTGGTACGTCTAGTGCATATTCGTAGATCTTGAGACGGAGTTCGGCTGGGAGTTGGAGGAGCCGTGATGGTGATATCGATGTGTGAGTAAGATTTGGCTTCATATCTGCATGCCTACTTTTTAGATACGCTAGAAGAAAAAGCAATAAAAAGCAATATGGAATGGAATATTGAGCTTGCGAAATGCGGCTGTTAATGCCGTTTAAAAGGCTGTGGTACCACTCGGGTGTATACGCTATATAGATGTCTCGCCACCGTCAGAAAAATTTTGATCAGAAAAAGTCAATGCTGAACCAAAATAGCTGTACGGAGTACTCGGTACTCCTAGATGACCTTGCATAACATAAATCTAAAGCATCAGCCCATGTCGACCCTTTAAACGAAATGCCGAGTAATCTGATCTATATCACACTGCATATACTTCACCGCATGTTGTAGAATAGTAAAACCTTGGAATGTTCAACATATGTACCCTAAATAATACATACTCGTTCCTGGATTCCTGGACCATGGATGAATTCAATGTTTTGCAAATTTTTATGCGACAGCCTTTAAATGGTATGATTGTCCTTGGGGATCCACGTATTAGTATATTAGTGGATCTGATTTATAGAAAACTCGTCTTGAAGATATACATATGTAGTAATGCCAAGCAACGTCGAAGAACATATTTGCGCTTGAGTAACATGCCATGGATGCATATTGTAAGATGCAGACTGTAAGTTGAGTATAATATCTACTGTGACATTGTAAAGTAGAAGTACCTAGGTAATTATATTTGTAGTGAAGCAACCGATCCAGTGGATAGAGACCTCGTCGCAGATATGTATGTTGTACTACCTAGGTATCTAACTAACGGCTTCTCAGCAGCGCATTCAAATATCAAAGTTATCCAACAATACTAAAATCGACTACAAGATCAAAGACATCATTTTGAGAAGTATGTTGTACATAAGAAAAAAAACCAAATCCAAGTCTCCAAAAATTCAAGATGCAATTTATTCGCTATGGAAAATTGTTCGGAAAAAGTGGGAACAATCAAAAGTTCCTTGATCATCGCTGTCTATACACACCCAGCGACCAAGCTGCCCGCAGAACAGCCAAACCCCAAGCCATGCCGATACTATCTCGTAAGACATTCAATTTGCTACCCTTAACTTCCCTCCATCCCACAGGCACTTCAGCCACAGGGATCCGAGCGAACTCAGCCAGCATGAGCATCTCAACATCGAAGATCCAGCCCTCGGAATGCATATACGGCACAATATAAGGTAGCGCACTGCGAGAGAACAGCTTGAATCCGCACTGCGTATCCTTGACAGTAGCCGTTTTAGGAGGCGTCATGAGCCGTAGGATCAAATGGAACGAATGCATCAGGAAGTTTCGAAGCTTGGATCGCTATCCAGCAGAGTCAGCAAATCAACCTCACAAAACATCCAATCACCCAGATATCAAATATTCATACCTTAACCACAGCCTCACTACCAACCATATGCGCCCGCGATCCAACAGCAACCGCCCGCCCCTCCGAATCCCCCACATCCCGACAAGCCCCAACAAGCTTACCGAGATCAGCGAACTTGCTCGCCCCATCCGCATCCGCAAAGACAACATACTGCCCCCGGACATGGCGCATACCATGCGTGACCGCACCGCCCTTGCCGCGGTTATGAGTCAAGTTCACGACGCGGATCGCGCCAGGCGGGATATGGACGCCCTCCGCAGCCTGCGGTGTCCACGGACCCGCGTGTCCCTTGGGGTGTAGAGAGAGCTGGTGGTCACGCGCGAACCGGAATGCCACTTCCTCCGTGTGGTCTGTCGACCCGTCCGAGACGAGGATGATCTCCCAGCCGCGGTCTGAAGTGGAGCCTGTGGCGTCACTAGTGGTATCCCCGTTCGGCTTGCGCTTGCGCATTGAGCGCGTCTCCATTGTACTTGGGCTGCTGGCCCTGGCGATCGCGCTGGCTGTGTCCCCATACATGTGCTCCAGGTAGTTGACGGCTTCTTCCAGCATTCCGGTTAACCGGTCTTCCTCGTTGTAGGCTGGTACTACGACGGACATGAATAGCTCGGCTGGTGCGATTGTGTGGGCTGTGGTGGTTTTGCGAGTGCTCTTTTTGGCGTCTAGGCTTTCGAGCCAGCAGGGTAGGGGCTCGGGGTCTGTCACGGATCCATCTTTGGCGAGGGTTCTATACTTCTTTTCTTCTGGTAGAGGTTCTCGTGGGACTGGCGCAACGAAAAATATAAACAGCGAGAACTAGATGATTGAAAGTAGAATTGATAGGTCAGTAACTTGTAATTAGGGCTGCACGTGTCTGAAGTGCGCGATCTGGCTGGTACAAGCGGAGTGGGGGAAAATGGACTCACTAGGACAAATAGTCCCAGCAATGTGGCTAGGGCAGCAATGAGTAAGATCTGAACTGGGATTTCCACCACAGTATTGACGCATTGGCGACAGATCTCGCTCCAAGCTGCCACCATTGTGCAGAGTGACGAGCTCGGCGTCAGATGCGGAGACGGAAGAGAAGCGGAGACGGGAGTGATGCCGGAAGGGATAAGGCAAGCACTTAGGTCCGAGAGAGAAACTGTTTATTCATAGAGGTAAAGTAGAATGATCCTCGCCATTGAAGAGGAAGAGGGAGAGGGAGAGAGACGGTAGAAAGGAGGGGAGGAATGCTGTAAGTTGATAATCGCCAGCTTGGCCTTTTATCGGCAACTCGCAAGCCGATACGGAATAGATCCACCTCCGGGAGCCACCGTTCGTTCGTAAGACACTATATGATCCTATGTCTTACTATTTTATAAGTAGTATTTTATTTTATTTTATTATACATATGTGTTCTGTTATAGTTCATGTATACTACAGCTCATTGCCTATATACGCGCATACACCTGTCTATACGCGTTTAACCTCAGATCACATAGATCGGTCAGCCCTTGGTGTGAACATGGTCGTATACAAGAGCTGATTATTGCTCTATCAAACGACGCTGCTCCCTCAGAGTGTTCTTCAACGGTCAAAGCTAGAGGACTGTCTCTAACAAAGGATAGCAAGAGAATTGGCTAAGTGAGGACGGGACTGCGATGCCTGAATACTCTTTGCTGGCTATTCTGCTACCCACAATCCATAAAAAGGGCCACAGAAAATCATGCGAGTAATGCATATGTTGTTAACCTTGGAAGGAGAAGAAGAAGAAATTCCTGGAAGCTGGGGGACAAGGACGAGTATACTATACACGAACACTGCCCAAATAGGAAGTGTCTGACACCAAAAGTTCGAAGTTTTCATGTTTTTATTCAAATACTTTCCTTCTCTTATCATCCCGATTTTTCTTTTTCCTACCACTTTGCCCCCTAGATTTGTATCCTCTGTTATTTTAGAAAGACTCCTTCCTTTAACTAGCAAGTACAAAACAACACATCGAGAAGCCAAGGATGACTTCTTTCTGACAATTCTGAATGTGCCCCTTCTGGATAGAAGGAGTAATCCGAGTCCGGAAAAGCGACTGAAGCAGGAGTCTTGGCTTCCAACATGGCAAGTCCAACCACGGTGCAATAGCGTGGCGCAATGCCTGGAAACTGATCAGCAAGGCCAGTGAACCTTCCCAAGCATTATGGAGCCGGACGAACAGAAGCGAGGGCATCCTGGGACAGGGCACCTTTCCATATATCCGTGGCAATAGATGTGAGAATCCTTGGAGACCCCAAACGGTCCAGTCCTTGGAGAGTGGTCCAGGTAGAGGCAGGCCTTCCAGGGTGGGCCCCCCGGGACCGGGGAGTAATCTGATATCTGTCGTGTAGTTGTGGCCGATTCATGAATTTCCTGTCTGGTAATAACGAAAGAAAAGGATCCACTCTCTGGCTTCGTGTACGGAAAGTGTCCAAAGGGATGATCCGCGCTCAAAAGGCTTGAGCACTGATTCGAACAAGAAAAAAAAAAGACAACCCCAGGATTCCACCAGCCCTTAAATGATCACCGTCAAGACGCACAGCTTACGCCATAACGGAACCCGCAATAGAGCCAGAAGTCACCCAACCCCGTTTTCAAACTTCCTGCATCTCCTGATCGGAGGAGTGTGATATCTCAGTTCCTAGTGAGTAGGGATTGCCATAAAGGTAAGCGGGGGATTCTGCTATTGGCGCGAATTCATCTGCTAATCGGGTAGGCGTGAATCGTCGCGTTTGATCGTATGTCATCCAGCGGGTGAACTAGTTAGATGGTCAGTTTTAAATGTGCTTTAAAGACATGAGGGCTAACAGACAGTTGCAATCCGCACTCCCAACCAAAGACACCGATGTCTTCTAGGAATCACTGTTGAAGGTTCTTCTGTGGATGGTCTGTTGTCTTCTGTAGGAGCCCCCTCGAAGAAATCTTCTGGGTAGTAAAGCCGGCTCCATGTCTGTCCTCTGATTAAAAAGTCCTCCGGTAACTGATGTGCACTTGAGTCGTCAAGAAGTGGGAATGATTCGTCTTCGATCTTTGAAATGATCGTATCGGGACAGAACAAGGTGTTGAGATAATTCGCAAGTAGCGACCACGGAACCAGTGGTTCTAGTCGTTGTATAGCAGCTGGGTTGAGTGTAAGACACCACACAAATGCCATAGAGATATGCACACTCGGGTATATGTTTGGATCGCCGATTTGGCCTAACATAACGATCAATGTGTGAAACGCGAGAGAGCTTGCCCGGAATGTAAGCTGGCACGAAAGATCACTATATGCGGTATGGATGGATGCCCGAGGGGCACTAGGCGCGCTAGATGCCCACTTCATTGCTATCAGGCGATCTTCTGTCGTAGGATTGCGCAACTTCAATATAAAATCCTTTTCCATCACTCCATGCTTACTCCCATATTGAAATATTGCGGAGATATTGCAAGACGTGAGTTGCACACCTTGCTGCCCATGTCGGCATACCCAACCAATCTCCTTACGTAGAATAGAAAGAAACACATTCGCCCGAGAAACGAAGTCCTCAACCGGAGCTTGCATGAAAAGCGCACCGTGAGTTGTCACGAACGAAGCAATCAAACTTGGACTTCCTTTCTGAATCGGCACGTTCATAAGAGGAGTGACTAGCTGGATCATGCTATCGAGAGCAT